GTCTGCGTCTCCCGCGTCCCCCGATTGGCCTGGGACGGCGAACTGCAGCAAGTGGGGGCCACGATCGGATGAACCTGCTGCGTCAGCAGGTAAATAAACTGGCCCGGCCCACCAGGGTGCTTACCCTGGCGAGCCGCGTGCCAAACGTTGCCGACCCCTGCTCTAGGGATTAGTTTGGCCCTAAGGCATTGGAGGAAAGATAGGTAGAAACAGGAAATATGGCCCCATTAAAGTTTTAAATGGATCCTTAAATATAACCAGGACAAACTATCCTTTCATTGCACAGCTACTCCATGCTCAAAATGGGAGACATTAAAATGTAATTGTAGTGAGTCGGTATGGCTCCCCTCCTGCCCAGAAGAGGGAGCCCCCGTGCAGGCACCGGAGTGGGTGGAGCCACCGCTGCCTGTTCCCGCCCCCCGGAAGTCAAGGGGCGGGACAGGAAGTATAAAGGCCGGCCGCCAGAGCTCAGTCAGCGGCCAGCCACCACAGGGAGCAGACGTGCGGCCGGGAGACCTCCGAGGCCCGAGGCCAGGGCCCTAACTGGCCAGAGCTACCCCGGGCCCGCTACGAGGAGGAGCCACCGGAGCCCGTCCGCTCCCGTCGCTGGGAGGAACCCTGGGAACCCCCCCACACTAACCCTGAAGACGAGACCGCACCAGAACCCCTCCGCCCCTGCTGTTACCCGGAGGAGCCGCCCGAGTGCAACTGGCCGGATTTCCCGACGGAGCTGCCGGACCTGCCACCAAGCCCTGGCCGAGAGGAGCCCATGCAGCTGGACTGGCCTGAGCCCGGTGCGACAAACGAGGTAGGCCCTGAGGGGGAACCTGGAAGTAGCCCGGGGATAGCCGACCCCGGTCAGGCTGCAGACGAATGTGAGCCAATGTCAGTGTGTTGCGGTCTGGATCCCCCACTGACCAGCAGCGGCAGTAACCGCTGCTAGGGCCCCGGACTGGAACGCAGTGGAGTGGGTGGGCCTGCGTTCCCCCCTGCCACCCCCGCTCACGGGTGGCAGGCTTCCCCCTCACCTAACGCTCGGCTGTAGGAGCCTAGGCGTACTTTGACTGTTTGCCTGCTCAGCCCCTGCAACCAAGGGCCTGAGCCATAACTGTGTGTGCCCCGCCCTGATCCAGGGCCTGGGCTCCTTAACTGTTTGCTTGCTCAGCCCCTGCAACCAAGGGCCTGAGCTATCCCTGTGTGTGGCCCGCCCTGATCCAGGGCCTGGGCTCCTTAACTGTTTGCTTGCTCAGCCCCTGCAACCAAGGGCCTGAGCTATCCCTGTGTTTGCCCCGCCCTGATCCAGGGCCTGGGCTCCTTAACTGT